TTTTTTGTTGATGTAGGCGTTTGCTCAGATTTTGGCTTGATTCGCCTACGTAAATGAGTTCGCAGTCTGTACATTTTATTTGATAAAGTAAGTTTCTTAGACGGTCTGAATTAAATTTGGATTTGACCTTAGTGAAAATGGAGTTAAGGATTGCATCACATTTTTGAATAATGAAAATAATACCAGAAAAACAATAAATGACAAATAATACATACCAACAATAGGCTACATTCTAAAATTTATATATATATATATATATATATATATATATATATATATTACACTACTGTTATACTGAGAGCTAATGACAAGAAAATATGTTTTATCAGAATAAAGTAGGTGCACCGAGAATAGCTAATTTTTAATCGCAAATAGACCAAATTATTTTTGCTTTACTATTTTGGAGATAAATAATAGTAAGAAAACAGTACTAACTTATTCGAGATTAAAACTATCCCAAATATTTTTAAAATTATTATAAAAAAAATCTAGAAGGCGACATAATATCATTGTTGTCTTTTTTTATTTTCGTTATTTTCATTATACAAGATTATTTATTTTCATTCTAAAACTTATTAAAAATAATACTATCTCACAAAATAACATAATAAAACGTAAATGTATGCAATTGATTTATTTTTTATCTCCATTTTTTATCTTACTATACACAGACAACATCTTGAAGTTGGTTCTATTATCATCTTAAAGTTGGTTCTATTATTATCTTGAAGTTGGTTCTATTATCATCTTGAAGTTGGTTTTATTATCATCTTGAAGTTCGTTATATTATCATCTTGAAGTTGGTTGTATTATCGCCTTGATGTTGGTTCTATTATCATTTTGAAGTTGATTCTATTATCGTCTTGAAGTTGGTTCTATTATCATTTTGAAGTTGGTTCTATTATCATTTTGAAGTTGGTTCTATTATCATCATCTTGAAGTTGGTTCTATTATCATCATCTTGAAGTTGGTTTTATTATCATCTTGAAGTTCGTTCTGTTATCACCGTGAAGTTTGTTCTATTATCATCTTAAAGTTGGTTCTATTATCGCCTTGATGTTGGTTTTATTATCGTCTTGAAGTTGGTTCTGTTATCTTGAAGTTAGCTCTATTATTGGTTTGTAACTTCGCTAAAGCGATCGCAGCGCCGGTTGCGTGCGAATATCGCAACCAATAAAAACCAATGATTTTAACACGTTTATAAAGCTCAAGTTATATTATTGTTTTCTTTATTTTAATTGGTGTTTAAGAACAATAAAGTGGCAAGTCGAATAGCTGAAGTATGAGTGTTTCATTTAAATGGGATCGGGTGAATTCCTGAAAGCTTTGTAATTGCGTTTTATGATATCATTGCGATTTGTTTATGCTAATTCCTATATCGCATATCGCACAGGTCGATTTATAAACAAATGGAAATTTTATATGTTTATAAACATATATATATATATATATATATATATATATATATATATTTATGTAGCCTCCTCTAATTTCCAATCCAATCCAATCGTCTTTAGTATAAAGAAAATTACACACCGCAACGGATGTGTTGCAAAGATATATTAATATTTCATAAATTGTTTAAATTTAATTTATTTATTGCTTTTTAATAATTCTAATAGTTTTGTGAAATTATAGTATATTGCAAAGTGAATAAAAAATTGATTTGAATATTTGTTTAAACGATTAAGAGTGCTTAAAAAATTGGCTACAATAGAGTGAATAAAATAAGTTATAAATGAAATAATATCCTTACTGGTTTTTTAAAATATAATAAATAATTTATAAAATAATAATGTATAAATAGATAAAACAAAATTGCGAATTGATATAATATTGTTATAGCATAATATAATCTTAATAATTCACAACCATTTTTTATATAGATCTCTGTTTATTGACTTATATAGATTTATTTAATTATTTCTTTGTTTGTTTGAAAAACCTTTTTCACTTTTTGTCATTATGCAATTATTGCTTATTACATTATTTTTTTATTTATGTTATTATACACAGAAAATATGTTACCAGAAATACTGGCATCGTGTGCACCGGTTTTTACTCTTTTATTTATTCTTTCATTTTTTATTTGTAAGCCAATTTGCTAATTTTGTTGTCTCGGCGTTTCAAGTCATTATGAATCATTTGATCCCAAATTTGGAAATGAGTATTTTTAGTTGGTATTTCCCAAAAATGGCGGAACTGATTTCAAAAATATAAAGCTATTTGATGAAATACGATAGAGGCGAGCGCTTATAGTATTGAGAAATTTCGAAAATTTAAAATGCATGTAATTAGCTCAATTGCATAAACACTTAATTATATTTTATGTCGAGAAATTGCATGTTACATTATATCAACGTCTAAAACTTAACCTCCAAATGGCACAAATGTCAGAATATGACTTTAGTTCGACTTCGAGCACAGTGACAGCTAATCTTTGCAATTATTATTTATTAAAATCTTAATTATTTATCAAAATATGCATTTATTTAACGAATTTTTTATCTAATCATTTATATATAATATGTTTGTATTAATTCGTTTCATTTATATATGAATTATTTTGATTAATGAATATATAACGAAAAAATCGTTTGTCGTAATATTAAAATCTTCAGTGCGCTTTTACCCTTAGAATTAACATTTGTATTAAGATGTTGTTAGGCGGATGGCGCATGTGTATTTTTTTAGTTTTTATAATTAAATGATTAAATGCAGAGATAAATGAATAAATTGTTAGATGCTAAACTTTTCACACACAAACGTACAATCACATAGATTTATACTTTGCCTTCGACTAACTAAAAATAAAATTGCATAAACAGTAGGGCCTCGATTAACCGGACTAATTATTGTTGATATAATCGGATAATCAAATGTACTATAAATGATGTTGCATATTTATTAAATATAACAGATACATATATATCAACGAAAATAATGTCTATTAAGAAATTGAAATTTCCTTATGTATTACAAACATATACTAAACTGCAGCATTAATCTTGCAAAAATTCGACTTGTAGGTATAAATTGAATTGAAATATGTACATATAAAACCATTATTGCTTACGCCAGGATCTCTTAATTTCAATTTAGATGTTCACCCCTCGAAACTTAGGAAAGCAAGAATTTCTTATCAACAAACATGGCGCCAATTATCAACAAACATGGTGTCAATTATGAACAAACATGGCGTCAATTATTAACCAACATAGCGTCAACATGAAGTTGGTTACAATAAAAGCATAGACTCAGATATTAATTCAGATTTTCATTAATAAAATTGCTAACAAAATCAAAATTATTTCAATATCTAAATAACTTTTCTTACAAATAAATAAATTAATGAATTAATTAATTAAAATAAATTAAATGGATAATTATATGTTTTAACAAATATATGTATGTATGAAGGAATAACTAATATATATATATATATATATATATATGTGTGTGTGTGTATATATATACGAGTATATATATATATATATATATATATATATATACATTCAGAAAGGTTCACCCTTGAAAACGTGACCCTCACGCCTCCAACAAAACATGCGCCCCCTCTCGTTCGGGATAATATCGATTTTCATCCCTCCAGCCGGGATACGCAAAATGGATACATTAATAAATAAAACGGAGATTATTTTAAGATTTTCTAATTTTAAATAAACGTAATAAATAATTTTATTCTTATTGTGAAGTGGATATTATGAAAACTATCGGATGACTATTGTTTTGTTGTTAACCTGAAGAGCTCGTTAAATTGTTTACAATTTATGTGGGTGATAAGTGTTGCTTAGTATTTTGCTGACTGTCGTGAGCGATTTTAAAAATGTGTAAAATAAAGACAAAAATAAGATTCTGAATCTTATTCTGCGATAAGATTATCTTGTTACTTTAGGTTGATTCATTTATTCTTTCTTTTGTTTATTCATTTATTCAGTTCATATATTTATTTATTTATTCATTTATTTACTTTCTCATTTATTAAGATAGTAAAGTACTTTGATATTACTTCAATTTTAATTGCTTCAGCATATCATTGAGGCCGCCACCAACTGTAGCACGTAAATTTACCCTAAGGTTTAATTCTAAATACAATTTATTTAAATATATAATATATTGAACATAAACCTGATTAATTTAAATTTTTATCTTGCGATAAGATAAAATAAGAAATTTATTTTCTAACAGGGGTCTCTGTTTTAATTTGTTTAGTATGTATGTATTGTTTGTTTTAATTTCGAGTAATGCAATACTTTATTTAATTTTTTTATAGAGAATAAAACCAAATGCAACAGTTGGCAACATCGAATAGAAAAAATGGCACGATATTTGATTGATGTAATTTTAAAAATTAACCAAATTCAGAACGCCAGAATTTCTTGCGACATATTTTCTGTCAAGTTTTTGTCATAAACATATTAAGAATTTTGGAAAAGTAAGAACATAACATTTTAATTCAAGAAAGTTGTTTTCTACCTGTGCTAGAAATAATTTATATACATGTAATATTTAAAATGTGGAATTTTTCTTCCATAGCTCTTTCAATTATCATCAGACTTAGTATTTGTTATTAAATTTTTACCCTCTGTACTATGTACAATTTTGACTGTTTCCTACCATAATGGTTATTAAAAAGTGCATAAACAAATAGAAAAAAATAATTTTCAAATTCTAAAAATGTGGTCACGGGCAGTGAAGGCGATAAAGGGGGGCAGGGGCTCAAAGAGCGCTTCGTCCAAAGATGATGAAGACTCCAAAGGTGTGCAAACAGAAAAAAATATGTGTTTAAAAAATTTATGTTTTTCTACTAATATTTGTGTCCCCCCTGCCTTTCCCTAGGACTTCACTGATATAAACCAACTATATATTTATTGTGGGCAATTGAAGTTGTTTTATGGTGAATTTGGATAATTGTTTAATATGTAGATTGTTGATTATATTGGTTAATTTGTTTTTTATTAATTTTTTTCTCTTTTTTGCAGTTCTATGCAGCAATCGTGTGAGCCAAATGACAAAAACCTACAATGATATAGAAGCAGTCACAAGGCTTCTCGAAGAGGTAAGCTATCGATTTATAAGACTAGTGTTTCCCAAACTTTTGCAGACCATGTCACACTTTGACACACATAAACCCCAATATAAAAAATTTAAACTTTGGAAATCGTTATCTTCAAATATATATTTGAATATTAAGCCATTAGTTATTAGGATTTTACCTCTTTGTGACTGACATCTAGCGTTGCTTTTGTTAAATAACATAAAGTTCTGTGGAATTCATTTTTTAACACTCAGCATGAATCACTGATTTAGAAACTCTAGTGATTGTTATTTTAATAGTCTTCAAGTTTTTGTGGCCTTCGATAATCATAAGAAGCGATTCAGCAGAAATTTTTACCGAAATCTAGATAAGTTTAGAACCTATGCAAATACATTTAGCATTTTTTCGAACCTGGTTGAGGAACCGTTTGAATTTTGTTTAAAGAATTGAATGCAGTTGATGTCGTAAAATGTTTTGATTTGAATCATTTGTAATTAATTTAAAAAAGGACGGTTGTGATGGTTTTACTTTTTTGTGACCTCCAATAACTAGAGAGTAAAGATGGCACAACTATTTTGTTTTGTTTTCAAAGAATGATAATTTTGTAATAAAATCTATAACATTTCGTCAGATAATTTGATATATTCTAAAATATTTTGATTTAGATTTAAAACTGCGCTTTGAAATGGCAATTAGAAATTTCTTATTAATTTCATTCTGTAATCTGTTTTTTATTAACAACTAGCAAACCCGACGAACTCCGTTTCGCCACCAGATGGTTTCGTGAGAAAGATGAAGAAATTTTTTGTTTGTTTTATATTTGAAAAGGAAAAATTACACAACAGTAATGAATTTATTTCGATTACAAAAATGAGTTGAACTTCTCTAAGTAAATGAAAGTGAATCTGCAAATTATCTACTTTATTGAAGAGCCTTTTGGTAAACTACATTTTTTGTTTTTTGGCCTATAACTAAAAAATGTATACATCTATATTTATGTATGAAAAATGTGTTTTCGATTAAAAATATCCTATTGGGCACTGCGAAATGAAACGGCAATAGAAATTTTTCTTCGCAGTGAGATCTATTTTTATGGTTGAGAAATGTATTAGAAAAGGATAGTGAGGGTGCGAGAGAGGTAATAAAGAGAAGTAGAGAAAAGAAAAGAAGCAGAAAAAATGAAACAGAGATAAAGAGAAATTCAGAGAAAAGGGGAATGTAAGAAAAAAGAGAGACATAGGAAAAGTGAAAAACAGAGAAAAAGTAGGAAATACAGAGAGAAAAAGAATGAAGTCAGAGGAAGAGAAAACTATAGAGTAAAAAAGGTAAAGTAAAAGAAGAAAAATAAGTCAGAGAGAGAAAAAACAGAAAGAATTATGAGAGAAAAGAAGAGAAACAGCAACAAAGATGGAAAAAGAAAAGCAAAGAGAAAGCAACAAAATACAAAACCTCTCTATCTCTTTCTAACACATAAATAAATAGCATTGGTTTCGATTTATTAATTGATTAATTAACTATTTTAATCCATATAATAATCACATAAATTTGAATTTATCGAGTTGTCAGTTGATAAAGGTTTATAACTTTGCTAAAACAACCATAGCGCCTCACACAAGCGAGTGTCACAACTTAGAACTTAGAATAGTAGTTATATTGTATTTGATTTCTATACTAATTTAATTGTTTTAATACTTTGGTTAATCAATTATTTAAGTAATTAACTAAATAGTTGCAATATAAGTTATACTTGTTTATCTATGGAGTTAATATTCAAACTTAAGGTCGATCTGTCATTACTATAAAACGTTTCACTGGTTCATAACTTTGCTAAGTCAACAACAGCGCCTCAGCACAATTGTCGGCTGCAACCTTAGAATATAATATTTTATACTCCTTTTCTTCTTATTAATTAATTATTAATTTTCTCTTTTTCTTTAGAAAGAAAAAGACTTAGAACTCACAGCCCGCATTGGCCAGCAACTGTTGGCCAGAACAGGAACCCTCGAAGCAAGAGTGACGGAACTCGAAGCGGAACTAAAATGCTCGAACGAGCGAGCGGCCCAATTGGCACACGATCTGGCAGCTAAGAGCGAGCTCGTCAGGGTGCTCGCCAGCGATCAGGATGGGGCCGACTCCGCAGACGGGGGAGATGATGAGCTGGGTAAGATAATGGTCAATTATTTGCAAGTTTTGTTGGGGTTTTACTCGCACTATTTATAATTTTGATTTAGGACAAATGTTAGAAAAAGCTATTTGATGTTTTATTATTTCTCTGTACTTTTGAGTCACTCAGTTAACACCGAACGGCGGTAGCAATCTGAAATCCACATAGATTCCACATCGGTGTCACAACGCTTGTGGATTTCAGATTGCTACCGCTGCTTATATCACACGGGGTTCTCCGGGTATTTATATGTTTTATTTTTTTAATGTAATTTCTGACGAATAAATTCATTTCCATATCGGAATTACATATTTTTTCTTATATTGGTATGGGTTTTTTTCTTTTCTCTTTTTACATGAATCTTTTCTATAATAAAATTTATTTTTTAAGATTCACCTACCGGCGAGCTGAAATTGAGCGGAGAGCTCCTGCGTCGCAAATTGCGTCAACTGGAGCAGGACAATAGGGCACTGAGAGGCGAAGCAGCACGTCTGCTACAAGATACAGATGCCTGCGAGGAAGCAGAAGCAAGGCTGCTCAAGGACTTCACGGCACAACTATGTAAGAAGATAAATGATAATATTTGTCGTATTTAAAATTATTTAAAATTATACTGTTTTTTTTTACTTTTTGGATGCTTTGTCCCTTTCTTTCATCTTTCGTTGCTTTCTTTATCTCGCTCTTTCCTCTTTTACCTCTCATTCTTTCCCTCGCTTGTTTTCCATCTCTCTCTTCCTCACTATAAACTACTTTTTTACCTTTTGTTTTTCTTGTTTTTTCTTTGATATCTTTTTCTTTCCATATATTACTCTCTTATATCATCTCTTTCTTCCGTTTTCTCTATTATTCTTTCTGTTTCTTTTTGTTTTGTGTTTTGCTACCTGCTCTCTTTGTTCTTTCTTTTCCTTATTGTTTTTTCTCTTTCTTCTCTTTTTTTCCTTTCTGTTTTTATTAATTCTTCCTTTTTTCTTTTTTTTCTTCTTCTACTCTCTTTTTTTGTTTTTTTCATCGTTCTATTTTCATTTCTGTTTTTTTTTTTTTTCTGGCTTTTCCTTCTTTACTCTGTATTTTCTTTCTCTAACTTCCTTTTTTTTCCTCTTCATTTCCTTCTTTTTCCCTGTGTTTTATTTTTTCATTTCTTTTTTTCTCTTCTTCTTTCCTTGTCTCTGCATTTTCTCTTTTCTCTGATTCTTTTCTTTTCTCTGCTTCTTTCTTTTTCTCTGCTTCTTTCTTTTTCTCTGCTTCTTTCTTTTTCTCTGCTTCTTTCTTTTTCTCTGCTTCTTTCCTTTTCTCTGCTTCTTTCCTTTTCTCTGCTTCTTTCCTTTTCTCTGCTTCTTTCCTTTTCTCTGCTTCTTTCCTTTTTTCTGTTCCTTTCCTTTTTTCTGTTTCTTTCCTTTTTTCTGTTTCTTTCCTTTTTTCTGTTTTTTTCCTTTTTTCTGTTTCCTTCCTTTTCTCTGCTTCTTTCCTTCTTTATTTTCTGTTTTGCTCTCTTTCTTTCTTACTTTTTTGCCTGTTTTTTGTTCTTTTATTTTCTTTCTATCTCTCTCTCTATGCTTCTCTTATTAATTTATTTTTCAAATAAGATTATTATTACTGATGATAAATCATCTTATTTATCTAGAATGAATTTTACACATTTTGTCTTTATTTTTTTCAGCAAATGCCAATCTCGAAGTCGATGCCCTTCATGAAGAACTTGAGAAGCAGAAGGAGGAGAACAGGCTTCAAAATGAAAGAATATTATATCTTACGGAGAAGCTGAACGAAGCAGAATTGAGGCTGCACAATGTAAGATAATACACAAATCATAAACTAAACTTTCAAAAGAAATCTTAAATTTTTATTTTCATTTATCCTTTACTTTTATTTACAGTTCAGTGCAGAAAACGAACACATGACCACAATCCTCAATGTAACTCGTGAGAACCAGACCTCGCTTGCAAGCGAGTTGGCAGAGTTCAAAGAAAGACATGCCGAGGCCATGGCATTGTTGAGGGACGCTCAAGAACAACTGAGGAGACAGAGGAGGAAAGCAGCACCTGCTGTTCGAGGTAAAAGAAAATTTCGTTAAAGGATACATCTGATGAAAAAATGATTTTCTCCATAAAATGTTTTGTTTTCTTTTAAGGTTGTGGTATAATGCCTTCGTTGATCTATGCGAATGGCGGTGGTGCTCAGCCTGATTCGCTGCAAAGCGAATTGGAGAGTTCATTGTACTCAGAACTGAGCATGGATAGTGGAATATCAGGAACAGGACTCACGTAAGCATATATTTTGCTATATCATTGTAGGTCTCTAGGATATATTTTGATTTTTTTGTTGTTTTTTTACAGGCCTGATTACAAAAAAGTATTCAACACTGTGCAATGTGCTTCCAAAAACTCTGCAGATACCCAAAACTTTGCAACACTTCAACCTAATTATGATCAAAGTAATAATTAACTATTTTTTGTTTTTCTTAAATATTTCTTGTGCTAATATATTTCATTTGCAGCTATTATGAGTTCTTCAAACCAACCTAGAATGAGTTCTTTCCAAAGTGCTTCTTCAAATAGAAGTTCTATGTACAGTAATTCTACACAAGGCCTAGTCTACCTCGATAGTCCCGCCATGTCCGACACTGAAGAACTTTATCCGTAAGTTAAAAATAAAACTTCGGTTTTGACTTTGAAATAAATTACAATTTAATATCTGTTTTAGGGGTGCACCTGTCGCTGGAGTACCTGGCATTCCTGGTGCCGCCGATTTGAGTGATGCTTTGAGAAGGTTAACGCCAGCTGAGGTCATGACGCGAAGAGCTGTGTTAAGCGGGGGACCACTTTATGCAGGTAGTAAAAAATACTGATTCAAATTGTGAAGAAAGGACACTTTTATGAACTTTGCTTTATTTTTTTTTTTTCTTTTTTTTCAGACTACGACTACGATAATCTTGGAGGTGGCTGCGGTCCAATAACAGGTTGGCGCACGCCTGACAGTGTCATGTCAACAGGTGGTTCTTCCAGTGGGGTTTCGTCGAGACACAGTGGAGGCACCAGTTCTGGTGTGGGAGGTTCCATGTGGAGACCGCCTAGAGATGTTTTGCAATTAGTTAAACCTATGGAAGGATCACATACTTTAAGGCACTGGAGCAGGCTGGCTACGCCCACATTGGCAGGTAAAGGATAGATATATTTATACATGTATTTTATGAAGTCTCTAATTGGGACATCTTCATATTAGGACATATTTCTTTTTTGACCTATGGTGATCAATAATCTTTGCTTTTTTTCTATCTTTTTTTTCATTTCTTCCTGAAAACTCTCTAATATTCTATTCTTTCTGTTTCTTACTCCGAAACTATTTTAGTCTAGAACTACTATTTTTAAAGTTTTACTGCTATTAGAGACTCGGATACTGCCATTTGTTACTCGAAACGTATTAACCGAGAACTATCTTTTGTTACTTGAGATCTGGTTACTTGGTAACGGTTATTTCAGATTTTTATTAATATGAACTTTTAGAAATTTAGAAACTGGAAAAGAGTTCAAATTATTATTCCAAATAAATGAAGGATTTTCTGATGGTCAAGGGAGATCTTTTTTATTTGTAAATGTTTAAAAGAAGATTTGATAACTTAAACTGGTAATTGCTTAAAAGAAACTATTTGGCAACAAAATTTTAGATGCTTTTCAATTTCGTGTTGTGGTCATCATAATTTTGAGCTTTATTGATGGAATAAATGCCGAAATCGAGAACCAAATAAAGTAACAAAGATGTGTGCATTTAAAGGAAAAAGAAATGAAAACCGACCAAAAATTGATTCTTGAGAAACACCTATTTTGTCTATTAACTTTTGAACCTGGGCAATCAATGAAATAAATTCTTCGAGTTCTGTTTAAAATTTTAATAATTAAAGCTTATTGGAACAAAACCATACATATCTAATTTATCAATGAGAGTTGTAAAACACTTTGAAGATGATGACAGAAAACGGTAACACAATAATTTTTATCATCAAATGAGTTAATGGCGAGTGTCGAGATTTTTTTCGATGCTTATTACTTCTTACTTGGCACTTACCATTGTTCTCGAAATTTACCATTTCTCTCTCTGGACATTTAACATTTCTCCTTCGATATTTAACATTTCTTCCTCGTCATTTATCATTTCTCTTTCGACATTTACTATTTCTCTTTCAACATTTACCATTCCTCTTTCGACTTTTACCATTCCTCCTTCGACATTTACCATTTCTTTCTCGATGTTCACAATTCTTTTTTCGACATTTACTATTCCTTTTTGGAAATTCACCATTCCTTGCTCGACCTTTTGTAATTTCTCTCTCTCGCTTTCGTAAATTTACATTCCGCTTTCGAAATTTACCATTCCCTTCTCGAAATTTATCATTCCCCTCACTCGAAATTCACCATTCCTCTCTCAAAGTTTACCATTCCTCCTCGAAATTCACCATTTCACTCTCTACATTCATTATTTCTCTCTCTACATTCACCATTCCTCTCTCTACATTCACCATTCCTCTCTCTACATTCACCATTTCTCTCTCTACATTCACCATTTCTCTTTCTACATTTACCATTCCTCACTCGAAATTCACCATTCCTCACTCGAAATTCACCATTTCTCTCTCTACATTTACCATTTCTCTCACGACATTTACCATTTCTCTATCCCGTAAATTAATATTCCGCTCTTGACATTTACCATTTTTCTCTTGAAATTTACCCTTCATCGCTTGACATCCACCATTCTTCTCTCAACATTTACCATTCCTGGCTCGACCATTTGCTATTTCTCTCTCTCTCCTAAATTAACATTCCGACATTTGCCATCTTTCTCTTGAAATTCACCATTCTTCTCTTTCTCGAAATTCATCGTTTTTCTCTCAACATTTATCATTCTGCTTTTGACATTTACCTTTCCTCTCGCGACAATTTACCATTCCCCTCTCGGCATTTATTCAAATCTGTTCAATATTATGACCAATGTATAAATAATAATTAACTATCCTTAAAGTTGTGTTGAGGACATTGAGGACATGCCAACGCTTCTTGAATCATCTTAATATTTGTTTCTACTACAGGATTGTTGGAAGAGCGTCCAGGTGTCCAAATCCGAGGCGGACGTGGTCTGGACGAACTTGGTATGGAACTGTACACCCTCTCAGATCTCGAGGAAGATGATGATATCTCGTTGCCAGGGAAACGGTTCCAAAATTCTGGCTGTGTATATACATATACTAACAGGTACAATAAATAATAATAAATAATAAATGCATTATTTTTAATTTCTATTTGAAACTATTTGATGATTATGTTATTTCTTTTAGTACTGTGATGCATCCAGATGACGGCAGCATTTGTGGCACAAGCGAGTATGGTTCTCGCCTGTGTTCAGTTCAGCCTACACCGGGTACTCAAACACCTGCACCTCGCACTAGATCTAATTCGACATGTTCTACATTCTCAACTAACATGGGTAAATAGATTTATTAACTATCTTTTCTCTTGGTCAACAGAATATTAGCATTTTGTTTTCAATTTAGGTCTTGCCAGTGTGCTGAATGAAAGAGGGATGCAGAGCGGCGTTCCGTCCTGCTTCAACACACCAGCGTCAGTTCGTGGCGGAATGTTTTCGACGAGCACCACGAATGGGCAGGACTACACTCCAACAGCTACTCCTTGTAATAGTCCTGATGGATCACCAATTGCCACACCAAGGTAGGAAGAAAATAATATAATTTACAAATGCTAATTAACATACACATAGGTCCAGATTTTAGTTTTGCACAAATTTTGTACCAATTTTCAATTATCCTTGTCCAGATGTTCCAGTCCTGAACCAGTATCACCTCATGCCGGTATTGCCAGCTTATTAAGTCAAGGAGCAGATCTGCTGTGGCGCACTTTTGGAACTGGTTTATACCCTGAAAAATCCATTGAGCACCATGATTTATCTCCATCGGACACCAAGGTAAATATAAAATTTTACACTTTACTGATTGATAAAAGACAGAGATAAGTATATCCTTAATTTTTTATTCCTAGTCGGTGAGCAGTATAGGTCTCGTCGACAGCGTGAAACGTCTAGGATTAGAATCTCTGATTATACCCCCTGGAGACACCATCGACAACAGGTATGGTTACAATGAACCATTGTCTTTGCATTTAAGAGGGGCAGGAAGTGTGGTGACTCGGCGGAACGACGCTGGACCGATGGCCAGATTAGCAAGCATCAGGGCTGCGCTTAAAGAAGCCGAGGTAAAAAACATATATCAAACTATCCCAAGTACATTATGAATATTTTTTTCATTTGAATTATTTCTTCTTCAGGCGCATTCTGAAGGTGCACCACGTGTTCAGCCAGAGACGCCTAAAGAATCAAAAGACTCCGCCAGTCCTAAAGCTGCTGAGGTGGCTAGTCCTTCACCTAGGAGGGCGAGAGGAGGAGCTGCAGCTGATAGAAGGGCTAGGATGAGGGAACGAAGGATTACCAGGACTGATTTAGGAACTGTGGTCCCTACTGGTGCAAAAGGTAAGGGATTTTGTTAATTGTGAAGATAGATGAATCGTAAGGATCATTGCTACTTTTATTCATTTGATTAACCCTCAGCATGTTTTTTTTTTAATTTTATTTGGTATAATTTATAGTAATTGCAAAAAAAACTAATGTGTATCACATCGTGCCATGAGGTAAATAGCAAGAACTTTTCCGTACTAAATTAAAATTTTGAAAATCTGGGTTATCTACGATATTCAAAAAAAATAATAATAATTTTTTTTTTTCCAAAACCGTGTTGTGTTTTTTCAACACAAGCAGAAAGTTTTTGAACCATTCAAATCGGATGCTTAGAATTTAAAAGTTAAAAACTGCCATTTTTTGCATATTTAACTCCGTATCTCCGAAACGGCTGGACCTGCCTTTGCTAAAACCTAATCACCACTTCTCCCCATCATTACAAATTGAATGTTTTTTGAATCATTCAAATCGGATACTCGGCTCTCTCAAAAACTCGATTTCTATTTTCTGTTCTCTTTGCTCCGTATCTCCATAACGGACGGACCTGCTTTTGCCAAAAACTAATCAGCACATCTATCAGCCGTCTATCAATAGGAATCGAATGTTTTTTGAACCATTCAAATCGGTTAATCCGCGCACCCGAAAACGTCGACGGATTATCATTTACGAATTACGGATCCGTCATTTATATTATGCAGGCTAAATGCCACTTAAACTTAGTCGGCTTTGTAATTATAATATCAGATGTATTAACTTAATTATAATTCTTTCCTCTAGTTAAAAAGGATCAAGAGGCTCCAACGACCACTTCAACAGAAGAAGCCCCCAGAAGATCAGCCTTTGGCGCAATAGGCGCTCTGCTGTTTGGAAGAAAAGGTGGTCTGCTGTAACATCACATTGTTTAAAAGTAAATTCGCACACATCACAGGGTTTGTTGAAAATGTTTATTTTTAATCGATTGAGTAAATAGATTTTTGATTCCGTTGTTCGATGGTAAAGGAAATAGAGATAAAAGGTAAAAGATAATTTTTTATCTTGTTTGAAATGGAAAAACTCTAGTAGAGATTTTTTGCAGTTGTTGATTTTAGAAACTTGCCAACAATTAATTTTAGGTTGATATTAAACACCAATAAAGAGCAAAATCTTGGTTCAAGATATGTACATTTATTCTCAACAATTTTACTCATTTTTTTATCATTGAACGACTGATATCTTTATACTTTACCCAAACTTCCAAATGCTGTTGATAATTTTAAAAGTTTTAATTTATTTTTAATACGACCACTCGTTTTACAATACATCATCGTGTGCTCAAAAGTGCACATCAAGTGCATTGTGTGTATGAATGCATGTATGTATGTATATTTAGATTAAATTTATTATCCTTGTGGATGTAAAATTGATTTGATACAATTTCTTTTTTGATAAAATTAAAATAAATGAATCTTGTAAAAATTTTAATGAATCCAAGAGGATGTAAAATTGAAATGATTGAAATTAACATTTTTTTGTTGATAGTGGATGATATTATTATGTAGTTTTGTAATTGAATAACGGTTTTCAAAGTGTATTTTAAAGGATTTTAAATACTGTATATAAAATATGTGTAAATGATGATGAACATTTATATTTTTAAATAATTCAGTATTTTTTTAGATTAGCAGAATTTTATATATATATATATATATATATATATATATATATATATATATTATTATATATATATATATATATATATATATATATTTATTTATAATCATATAGGTTGTGTTTACATTTTTTAATACTAAATATAAATTATCATATTGTTGTTGAACTTATTGGATAAATTAAACTTGCAATTTTTTTCTTATCAATCTTCAATTTCCTTCGTCATTATAAGTGTTTACTGATGTTTAATAAACTTTTTTGACATATTTTCTGTCAACCTTTTATCCTAAGGTGAGCGTATTTCTTCGACATTATAAGTATTTACTGATGTTTAATAAACCCCTTTTGAAGCCAATTCTAAACAGAATGAAAATGTTATAGTAATGCTATTTTATGGGATTTTATTATATCTTTGTATGAGTTAGTAGTAACAAACTACCAAAAGGCTATGTCTGTGCTGTTTGATCAGACGTTTTACACACAAAACCTAACCTCCAAAATGCACAATTGTTAAATAACAATTTTATCATAAGTGCAACTTTCTATTGTCTCTTTCACATAAGTGAAGTTAGGTTTTATTTGTCAAACGCCTGACTTCACAGCAAAGATGTAGCTTTTTCACAAGTTTTGACCACAAACTCATACGATTATAGACCCACATTAAGCATTACCATAAATAATATTTACCATTATAATAAATACATCTATTTTATCCGAGAACTGGCACCTGTAATAATATTGTTTAATACATTTTTAGTACCAGATTTTAGTAACAGTAAAGCCCAGTGCACACGACGCCAGTATTTCTTGTAACATATTTTCTGTCAAGCTTTTATCGTTAGGTGAGCGTATTTATTTGACATAAGTAATTACTGATGTTTAATAAACCCCTTTTGGAGCCAATTCTAGACAGAATAAAAATGTTATAGTAATGCTATTTTAGGGGGCTATCTTCGTATGAGTTAGTAGTAACAAACTGCCAAAAAGCTATGTATGTGCTGTGTGATCAGACGTTTTACACATAAAAACTAACCTCCAAAACGCATAATTGTCAAATAACAATTTATCAAAAGTGCAACTTTATGTTGTTTGTTTGACAGAAGTAAAGTTAGGTTTTATGTGTAAAACGCCTGACTTCACAGCAATAACATAGCTTTTTGACGCTTTGTTATTACCTTCACGATTCATATGATTATAGATCCGCAACATAACATTACCGAAATATACTTATTTTATTCTAGAACCTGTCCTTTAATATTGTTTAATAAAGGTTGGTACCAGATTTTAGTACCTGTAAAGCCCGGTGCACACGGCGCCAGTTTTTCTGGTAACATATTTTCTGTCAAGCTTTTATTTAAACGATAAATATAACTTCAGCATTTTATTATTATTTTAATGTTATAAATATGAGATAAGATCATTACATGGGTTTATCCTAATACACCTGTTTATGTTTACATTCCAATAAAATAGTTTTTTTGTACACGGTCTCCTTATGATAAAAACTTGACAGAAAATATGTCACAAGAAATTCTGGCGTCGTTAATAATCTCAATACAAAATTAAATTAAAATAATGCAATATTTTGTAAAAGAAAATGAATGTACATATTTATAATATAAAAGCACTCAACAAGCTTTATTAAATTATAAAAGAAAAGTTAAATATGAACACGATATGAGTTTCAACAATATAATAATTTATATATATATATATATATATATATATATATATTTAATTTAAATATTATTTATTATCTGCAATTAGACATGATTATTAATTAACCCTAGAAATTAATTAGCCTAGTTTTAACATCAATTCGACCACGGACCAAATTTTTAACCGTGTTTGAGTCACATTTATAATTAACAATAAAAAACTATTAGGACGTCACTGGTTAGCTAGAACACTCATTGTAAAATTATAGTCGATTGAAAAATAACATTTGTAAATGATAATTTGGTTTTATTTGGACACTCGATTGGGACAAGAAATAAAATTAATATATATTTATAAATATATATAATGGTGTAAATGGAAAATTGTGACTATGGCAAATCTATATCAAATAGATTTTCAAGCTAATTAGTCCACAAAAAAAGATATTAACGATTGCTGTGAAAAATAAAGGATCTTTGGAGAGTTTGATGTGCCAATCGTGTGTGCATCGATGCAGATGGTGCAAAGACATAATAAACAATTCAGTAAAAGATTTAGGGTACAATTTTTGAATATTATATTTTGGTAAAAAAGCTATATATTTGTTGTGAGATGAGGCTTCTTACACATAAAACCTAACCTCCAAAATGCACAAGTGTCGAATAACTATTTTATCATAAGTGCAACTGATGCCACCTTGATGACACATACGTGAAGACTAACTGAAGTAAATTTATGACATGTTAAATTTATGCATTTTGGAGGTTAGGTTTTATGTGTTAAACGTCTGGACCGATAATGTAATGAAAGGCCATGTTGCTCCAACTTCCATTTATTATACTACTGAACCATACTGAAAACTGTCAAAATGTCTTGTATTTACTGTGCATTCAGGCGTTTTACACAAAAACTGCAACGTTACTCATATGTTATGAAGCTGGTTCAGAAAGACCCTGTTATCTAAGATCGTTTTTTTGACATTTGTGCGGTTTCTATCTGATAATCTGTGAAAAACGCCTGACTGCACAGCAACCACATGACCTTGCCAATATTTTGTATGAAAAGTTCTTCAAAACATAGCCTTGCCATAACATTGGTTTATTATTATTGTTAATTTATGATTTGCACCATTCATTTTTAGTTAATTATTTAAAAGATAGCTCCAGATTTGGCAAAGAGGCACGAGCTCTTTACAAGAAAAATAGAACAGTGCCTAAGTAGGATAAAAAAAGTTGAAGTGTAAATTGGTTTATCGGATAGATAAAAGCATTATGTAAAATTTAAATTATTAGATAAATACATAAATATAAATATATATTGTAATTGTAGTTGTTTAAGTAGTTGATAATAGTTTTAGCGTTCTTTATTTATATTCTACATGTAATTTAATTTTAAAACATCAATAAAATCGTATATATTCGTTATACGTTTTGTTTCTTTGATAAGTAAAGTAGTGTTGTATGGCATAATGCCTTAAGGCAAATTTTGCAAATATTTTCACTCGAATACTTTTTCCAATTTCGGGTGTCAAACGATCCAGAATTAAATTGACTGAAGAATCTCCTACTCGAAGATTTAAAAGAAATGACGGTACGATCTTAAATTAATGTCATAAAAAGCAGATTCATTGGCGATAAACTCTTCAAATGCATGAAGACCAGCATATTATGTCTTAAGAAATAATATTATTTTGATCGGCAATAAATATATGCAAACAAAACGATTCAGAATGACTTGAAAATGTCGGAAAAAAGAGACTTATGAACAGAACATAAATTATACAAGTTGGACTTTCTGAAAACAAAACTAAATATAAAAAAAATAAAACAAAATATAAATATGAATAAAATATAAATATAAATACAAATATAAAATAATGATAAAACAATGATAAACAATATTAAATATAATAAAAAAATGATAATAAATGATAATAAATAATGATAATAAATGATAATAAATAATGATAATAAATAACGATAATAAATGATAATAAATAATAATAATAATAATGGAATAAAAAATAATAATGAAATAAAATAATAAAAATGCAAATAAATATAATAAAAATGAAATAAAATAAAATATAAAATCATACATATTACTCTAACTCTTCTTTTATCTATGACTCTAACTCTAACTCTAAATAAATATTATTTTATTAAGTTTGTACTGTTACCTTCACACTTCACGTGAACTTCAAATTCCACCGAATGTTGGTAACGCTGTCGGTTGCATTTGCCGATCTGTCAAAATAATTTAGTTGCATTATTATTATTGCAAATAACATTAACATATTTTTTAAATATTATAATAACTTATTACATTATTATTATTATAGAATTATATTAACATTGAGTTTAAAAGAGTGATTATAATAATTGTGTAGTATTATATCAGTTATTATGTTAAATAAAATTTACAAGATTGTTTTACTGTTACAATAAAATCTTTTAGAATGTGTAATTTGATTCATCGAATAACAATAGTGTCTCTATATAGAACATGAAAATGTAGTAAGAAGAATCGTTGAATTAAGGATTTTCTCAAAATTGTTCAGATTTTCATTCAAATACTTTTTCCAAATTTTGGGTAATTTGATTCATCGAATAACAATATTGTCTATATAGAACATGAAAATGTAGTAAGAAGAATAATTGAATTTGACTTAATAGAATAATATTTAAATAAAAAATGCAGCCAAAGGAAGCAAATTAAAGTCCACAAGTTGTCTGATGTACACATTATGGTGAGTTACTGTATAATTATTGGTATTGTTGATTCGAGAGCACTAGTTTGAATATTGTCTCTTCGAAGCTGAGTGGTTGTTTCTAAGGTATAGGCTGGAAGACTTATGGTAGCAAATGAAAGAGAGAGAGTCTACTTTCAATCACTTTATTGAATAACACTCTAAGCTACACCTTACTTATATAAAAGGTTTTGAGGATTTGTATATAAGTAGTATCACTGTTCAGGATTTTTCTGAATGTTATAGTGTGTCTGGTGTCTAGCATTTTATTGGATCTTATAGTGTGTCTGGTGTCAAGCGGTATAAATGTGTTATACTATTTATTTGGTATTATGTTTTGTTTGTGTTGCTAACGTTTTAGAATGTTTTATGATGATGATTATCAGAATAGTTTATTGCACATATATACCAAAGGGTATTCGCATAGCATTTAGTATTAACTTTGCCAATTCTCTGGAGATATCTGATTTTGAACACGATCGATTTAACTGTATTTTGTTGTTTCAAATTTGTGGATGTCAAATAAATTACTTTGAATCACTAATAATTATAATTTTCAATTAAAATTGCAATTCATACTATTCCTTGGACCAACATAGAAAATCACGTTTTGCAGTTTTGATATATATATTAATATACATGTACTCAGAAACTGCAGAACCTGATTTTAATTAATTGTCTGATTGTTTGCAATTATTGTATTTGTCTTTTTAGTTTCTGACTATTAAATAATCGATGATTAATTAACAAAATTATAGTATGTACAGTATAATAAATCGGATGCTTGGTTCTCTCAAAAAACTGCAATTTTTTACTTATTCATTAAATAATTTGCAATATTTAACTCTGCCAATTATCTGTCTGTTAAATGTAATTTGTACAAATTGAATAATACTACAAATGCTTAAATATAAATATTACATTATCATTTGGATAATTACATTACATACATCACCGTATTCGTTAGAGTGAAGTTAGTTATTATAACGTCCTTTTAACGGCGCCATTAACGCCTTAACGGATACCAATCTTTCAATATGGTAACACCGTTATTTTGACATTTGCACTTTGTATTCCGCGTGCGATAACAAACAGTCTTATCTTTGTCGCGGGCGTTGGAATTCGAATTAATTCGGCATTTAGAAAAAAAGACACACTATCATGTACCCAGAGATAAAAAAGATTCATTCATTAAAACCACATTAATGTCGAAGTCAAGTGGATTCCTAGCGGATGGGGCTATTTTTAGTTCAGTTTCTCCAGTGTAAACAAACGCGATGTCAGTGAATGGAGATGAAAATCGTTGACTTATTTGTTGTGGACGAAATAATTAAATCTGTGAAGGATATAAATAGTTTGATACTTGATAACCTAAGTGACAAGGAATGTGTGTATAACAAAATCTGTTTATATTCCGAAGATGAAGACACTCTCGAAGAGTTCACCAAGTTCGCAGCATCCCTCCAGGACGACCCAGATAAACCAACAAATCAGAAAAACAAACTAAAACCCTTCCAATGTGTCTACTGCTCCCAGTCCTTCACTCGCAACGACAACCTCCTCGTTCACATCAAAATCCACACCCAAGAAACACCTTACAAGTGCCCCGAATGCCACAAACAATTCTCCCCCCAACAACGCTACCTCGCCAGACACTCCAAGATCCACACCGAAGACCGCCCTTATAAATGCACCACATGCCAAGGCCTTCAAAACCCCAGCCATCTCACCAACCACACCAGGACCCACACCGGAGAACGCCCTTACACCTGCCAAGTATGTAATAACAGATACAGCAACCCGGCTACACTGGGGCACAATGTCAAGACACACATGAAACAGAAGCCTTATCAATGCAAGTTTTGTAATAAGGAGTTCTCGAGGCGTAATCGGTTGGTGACACATACTAGTATTCATACGGGAAAGCCTTACAGGTGTGATTTGTGCGATAAGGCTTTTACAGAAGCGGGGAAACTTGCTGGGCATATGAATACTTTGACACATTTGAAGAACTTGGCTAAGTTTAATGGGATTGATTGCACGGGAGTAAAGGGAGGAGACGGAGGAGGGATGTAATTAAGTATAATTAATTTATATTTAACATAGTTTTTTATTAGTAAAGTGCCTTAAGACCTTGAAAACCAAAGGTACTAAAGGATTCCTTTAAATCCTCTTCGATAATTTATTTATTATAGTGTTTGCACACATATGAATCTTCTTTATGATAAATAATCAGAGTAAAGACTTTATGTGTGTGTAAATATATATATATATATATATATATATATATATATACACATTAGGGTGACCTTATGGATTTTTCAAGTTTTTTAGCTCCCAACGGCTCAAATGCTTCTAAATCTATAAAACATAGTGGCATAAGGATCACAAGCGATTGAAGTAAACTATTTGCTACTGTACAAAGTAGCAAATTTAAGTTAAGTAAAAATTAATACCTCATTTAACAATTTTGAATAAGTTATTAGTAATATGGTAATACTCGAGATGCACACATTTTTAGTGTCAACCATTATAACATTTATATAATGATAAATTATAAATTATATATTATAAAAGCCTTAAAATATGTATAATATTAAAAACAATAATGTAATTCAAGTCATATTTCAAATATGACATCATCGGTTTGTCATTGTAATTAGCATTTACGACTTGAATCTTCATAGAGAATTGAAGTGATGCTGATTAATAAGTCTATAATATTTGTTCAAATAGTGGATATGTTAAACAACGTCTAAACAAATATTGTTTTCGCAACTTCACTCTCATGTAATTGTGTTTGAAGAACTTCATCTAATTAAAATTAACATACATTCATTGACTGCTTGTATTTTTTTACTTTTTTGCTGGTGATATATCTCATTCTTTGATCAGCGAGATATCTGTCTTGCCTAAGAAATATTTCCATTTTAATTACTTCAAAGATTTATAGAAACTACGAATAATATAGAAAAATTTCTAATCAATAAACTTATGTTTAGTACACGGCACAAATGTTCATCTGTTTTATTATTTCAAGGAAAGGGTAGAATATTCTTTGATTCAGGCATTTTTCATTAATCAAGATTTGTACTACGATGTAACTTTAAAATGTTTATTTATTTATGCCGATTTTCTTGTTGATATCGGTACGCATACAACGACAGATCTCTATTCACATACACGACGACTAATCACAATCGTCCCGTATAGAAATGATATCATTGAGAGCGAATGACGAATCATTTGGCGCTCGACCTTTATCTGCCGTAACGCACTTCCGTTGCATTTATACGGATTTACACTTTAGTCGCGAGCCTAAAGAGTTTACTTCAAAAATTTCTTGAAAGTTTTAACTCTTAATTTAACTTTAGAAAGTCTGCACTCCAACTAAAGTTTCTTGGTTGCTCTTCCTAAGTAAATACTTATTTCAGAAAGTATATAAATTTGTTGTTGTAATTTTTTTATTATTATGATCAAAATAAGCAAAATACAATGTTATTCTCAAAATTTTGAGTCATTGTCGATAAATTATAAAATTCTAAAAATAAATGCAGTTTATCTACAGTTTTTTCATAAGAAAACTTGGTTGGAATGCTGACTATCTTAAAGTTAATATTAAGAGCTAAAAACTTCAGAGATTTATCTTTTTTCAATTTGGAAGCATTTGAGCCTCTAGGAGCTAAGAAATCAAAATCAAAAACATCCATATTAAGAGCCATCATAATGTATATATATATATATATATATATATATATATATATAGTATCGATATATATATATATATATATATAGAACTTTTTTATATCTTCTTTATAAACTTTCAGAGGACTTTTATCAATTTGAAAGCATTTGAGCCATCCTAATATATATCTTTATATTGTAATCGTAACTTATATTTGTTTTCAATAAGAAAACTACAATAAGTCAGTACTATTACAAAAAATTAAAAGCATTTAAAAGATTTGAAATTAAGTTGTCGAATGTTTATTTAAAATAAATAGAAGTGGTGATTATAAATAATAAATTACACTATTATACTTATCGAGAGGGTTTAAAACAAATCTGTTTAGTGCTTTTGGTTTTAAGGTAAAAATAAATGCATATGTGTGCCATATAGGAATATAATATGTATATGTATATTAATATATATACAGGGTGTCCCAGAAGTAACATCAAGCCAAAACGAGTTGATAGTATGACTGAAAAAAGTGTCACATTTGGAAATTATAAGCTTTAAGTGTAAAAAAATTAGAAAAAATCTCAAGTTTGGAAATTAGAGCTCTTAAGTGCAATATGGAGCTTTGCTGAAATTATGATCATGGGTAATTTTTTTATTTTTTTCATTTAAAACTTGGGAACCGAAATTAAAGTTCGTAAAGATCCTTTAAATTTTCTTGAAAACTTGAAATTTTTAAAAATTTTGAAATTTTTTACAAAATTTGAGTTTTTGAAAAATTTCATTGTTTTTATTTTGAAGTTTTTTTATCCTTTGAAATTTTCTGAAGCAATCGTGCTGCTGCGTTTTTAGAGAACAAATATCGATTTTTTTTACTTTTTCATTGAATCTCCGAAACCGCCTAGACCTGCCTTCCCAAAAACTTATACGGTACTCATTTTGTCAATACAAATAAAATGTTTTTTGAATTATTCGAATCGGAGCTCGGTTCTTTCAAGGTTTGGCTCCTTTTGCCCCGAATCTTTGAAACAGCTAGACTGCTTTTGTCAAAAACTAATCAGCACGTCTCCTTATCAATACGAATCGAACGTTTTTGAATTATTCAAAATCGGTTGATCCGTGTTCCCGAAGTCGTCGACGAAATTTGTATCCGCACCACACATACACACATCCTTTTTTAAGGTATGCGAAAATGTTCAGAAAGGCTTGAAAAACGTAAAGATACATCAAAATTTTAATTTTAGTTTTTTGGACGATACTATAACTTACGCTACGAAAGCTCTAATTTCCAAACACAACTTGAGATATTTTTTTCTAATTCTTTCAGAACATTTAAGTTCAATACTATCATCTTGTTTTATCTTGAGGTTACGTTCTGGAACGCCCTGTATATATAAATAAGT